AGCATCAAAGAGGCTGTGGTCACTTTCAGAACAATAATTTGGATTATTGATATCTGAAATGAACTGTGATAGGCACACTAATTTCAGTGCTCTCTTGGCTTGCAAAGCAGTAGGCTTTGCACCCGACTTTCGTCTAATCTGTGAAAAGGCATTTTCCAGCGCATCTTGTGTCAACCTGCCTGGTAAGAAAAATGTAAACCTCGGAAAATAATTCTTTTGAGAGTTTCACAAACACTCAATGTGCTCATAATAATGCCAGTTTGAAATGGCTTCCATGCTTTCCAAACTGAACAGTTTCAGTCACATGAATGAATTTCAAAAATATTAAATTTCTCATCTTGATTTTTGATAGTGATGCCTTTTTTTGGATGCCTTGCAGTCATCTAAAACAGGCTACTCAATCTTCCCCCAAGGGTGGATGAGATTGCATAACATGAGTGAAGATCTGCAACAGAAATTACGTTTTTGAACCACTTATCGGTGTGAAAGATAGTTATAATTTGGAAGAGACAATGTTACTGCGGTATGCATTTTACACTGAACATTAACAAATTTAATAGTACTTACTCAATTTTAAAAGTAATAGATAAAATACACTACTTTTAGCATAAAGTTCCTTTTTTTTTTATTTGCAAGGGATTTTTTTTTTTTCTTTAAATGCCTGTTTGTTTCTAATCATTTCTTTATCTGCATGTTAACTAAGAACTGTACTACTGCTTCAAGATAACTATAATAACAGCTATTTAAAATTAATCAAAAACAACCTTAAATTGGCATAGTTTTTAAACATATGGTTCTATATGGCAAAATTTCTGCTAATCTAAGTTTGAGTTCAGCCTAGTTGTAAATTTTACATTGGCATATTTTTCTCCAGATTCGATATAATAACATATATTTTTTAATAATTTTGTAACTTAGGCTTACATCAATATTTCATTTAAAATAAATACATGTAAGATTGTTATCTTAATTAAGACAAAACAACTTTACTCATAGTACCTAAATAATTATTATTTTTCAAAAGTGGGGGGTTAAGGGGCAGGTGTTCTTATGCCAATTACTTTAATGTTATACTTTATATATATTTTATCTAGAATGCTAAGCTAGCACAAAATCGAATCAATAATAACAGAGGATACAATAAAAATAACTGTAACAATAACTTAACAGAATTAGTTCTCATTTAAAATATGCTTTATGCTATTAACTTCTAATATGGCATCTAGAAATATTTCAAATCAAAACATATTATGTATGCTTACTTGTACAGTCGCAATGCAACTACAATTTGTTGAAACATTATTTATTGGCTGCCACATTCGAAGCAAGCCATTTTTTTGCCTTTTGGGTTGCTTTTCTTTGGGAAAAAACATATGCATTTCTATTTAAGAAACGTATTCTAATAAAAGTTCTCACTCTGCAAATAAACGAATTGCTTCTCTGTTAACTTCAGGATAATGTTTCTCCAGTTTATTAATTAAAAAGCCAATTACATGCTTCCCTTTATAATAAGTTGTACCATGAACTGCACAAAATATGTTTTCGAAGTCATAAACTGTATTCATCCATGAATGAGAAGGTTTAGTGAAACCTCCTAAGGACAATAATTTAATACATTCTGAATTAAATATTGCTTCATCAGCACTGTTTTTAGATATTGTTCCCAATGATGTTATTAACAACATATGTTAATGCTTCTTTTTCGGTTGTCGAAAATTGTCCGTAGGAATTCAATTCTAATTCCCAAGCCATAGGAGAAGGTTCCTCTATGAAATCCAAATCCAAATCATCAATAGTATTTAATGGAAAAGCATCTTCCTCCTCAGTTTTCAAAGCCCTTTCAAGTATTTCTGATGTTAAATATGAATCAATATTTCTGCTTTCTTTATCATGGCATACTTTTGAATGCATGACTAAAGAAAGAGGTCCAAATTTTTGAAGATAAATTTGGCAGCTTATTAGCGAGTATTAATTGCTTTAAGCGGCGTATAACTTCACTAGGTGATGGATGGTCATTAAATCTACCAGCCCTCAATCTGACTAAAGAGACTTTCAAGAGCATCCTGAGTTAATCTAGAGTTTAAAATATATTTAGCATCATACGATGATTTCAAATCCTGGTGTAGGCCAAAAAGAGAATTTATTGAAATTATTATTCCTTTTTGGAAAGGCAGTAAGTTGGCTTTTCCCTGAACTCTTAATCCACCAATGACTTTCTTTATTGATTCCAAAACTTGAATTTGTTTTTCATGATGTTCATTTAATCCAAAAATAAACAAAAAAAACATATGCTTTAAGTATTTTATCTGAAGGAGGGTATGTTTTGGTACTATTCATAATATTGAAAAAATTGTCGATTAACTCAAAGAAGTCGGATGCTTTTTTATTTCCTATGAGGTGGGGTATACCTTTTGTGGTAGTTCTTGAAAATAATGTTTTCGCTGGAGCGACTTTTTGTCTCTTGTTTCCCTTAACCATTAAATAATTTGGTTTTAGTTTGTGACACAATTTAATTTTTCCTGAATCCTTATTTAAAACCTCTTTAATAATATCAACATTTAAAACAGTTCCATCTTCTAAAACAAAACCTTTATCTAAAAAGTGGTTTCTCAGTAATTTGAGGCAGTGCGCTAAATCTGCAAAAACCCATATTTTTTTCGTTTGCAATACTGGATTTGGAAACTGAGAACTATGAATTGAAATCTGTAACTCTTTCCACAAAGTACTAGATCCTCCTAAATCAGACACTGTTGCTTTCACTTCTACTCCAGATGATTGAATAAGTCTTATCAGTGAAAAAAGAAGTTCTTTCTTCATTGGAGTGTTAAAATAAAAAAATATTAGTTGTTTCCACTGCGAAATGAGACTTCTGATTAAAACAAACTGCACTTTTTGAAAAGGACCAAGAATTTGGTCCAGTTTAGAGTCATAGCAGAGTTTAGAATCTATGTGCATTTCGTCGAAACTGAGAACACATATTTTTTCTACAGAATTCAAATATTCGCATCTTTTCTTCATTACAGCAAGAATATCACTCTGAATTTCTGGACTACATGAAAATTTAGCGCACCATTTCTTTAATGTGCTAGTGCTAGGTAAAGGAATTCCCATTTTTTCTTTCCAAAAATCATAGCTATTAGATGACAGAGCTCTTATGACAATGCAACGTGAAATATCTTCACTAGTCCACGTGATTTTTTCCTTCTTCTCTAGCAATGTGTTAATCTGCGTCTTTGTAAAAATATGCTTTAGACATTTTTCCAAATTCTCCGATCTGTGCCGTTTTTTTCCCCAAATTTTGCTGTTTGGGATTTTAATTTCTGAATCTCCGATACAAATTTCTTTCTAGACGTCGTCCACCTTCTTTGTCGCTGAGCAAACAACCTAAAATTTTTCTTTTCTCTATTTTTCAATATTTTATTACAATTTTCTAAGGATATTATTTTGTTCTTCAAATTATCAATACATTCTTGTTTATCTTTACACTTAGGGCATTCAGGGATATTGTCACATAGGGCATTGTCACTTGTGAGTTTTATTTCAAAATCATTCACATTTGATTTATTATTGTCAGCTTCAATTTCGTTTTTTCTTTCTCCCCCTTCGTCGCAGCAACAACCTAAAATTTTTTCGCCTATTTTCAAAATAAATTTGTTCTTGTTTCTTTTGTTTCTTGTTTATCTTTTTTGGGAGTCAATTTCACATTTTTTAAAAAAATTGTGTTAGTCTTTCAAAAGCACTCTGTATTAGTTTTCTTTTCAAATGTCTCCGATTTCTTGGTGTTATTTCGTTTACTGCACACGATAAATTTACTTTCAGCACAGATTTGCATTTCAACAGTTTCTTTTGCGGCAATCCAAGCAAGCGATTTCTCATGTCATCTTCATAATCACTGCACAGAAAACGTTCGCTGCAAATTCTTGCATTTTTCACATTAATAGAATCCTGTCTTCGACATTTGTGTATCCATTCTTTCGTCCAAAGCAAATTGTCCTTGCAGAAAGCATAAAATATAATATTTCTTCCTTTCGTATTTCTATAAATGTTACGGCACGTTGCTACAGCAGAAGAAGCCATATTACATAAAGGATACTTTAAATATAGAATTTAAAAGGAAAACTGACTAATATATACACAAATTATTTTAATTAGATATTATATTTGCATTATTAGATAACAAATATGTATGATTAAAATCGTCTCACAACTGAATGAAACTACAGTTTTAAAGGCACGAAATCAGAGCAGATGCAACAGAGACACACCAGATTACTTCCAGTCCCCCCCCCCCTCCATGAGGCTCGCGTCAGCGAAGAGTCGAACAAAGGAATGACCTAGCCCTTTTATTTATCTCTGCATAATTGTAAACCATTCTGCCATGCTGTCATCCACCATGCAGAAGTTAATGCTTCTTTTGCAATTTGTTGTAAAATAACTGCTTTTTCAAGAGCAGTAGCTGTTTTCACCGAAAACAATTGCACAGCTGATGTCACAGTCATCGAAGAAAAGTCAGTTGGGAAGAGATGGATTCAGTTCAGGTGGTGTAGCGATCTCAGGGCAGCATCTGATTCTATCTCACTTGACGAGAGTCCTTTCACATATACTGAAGATATTATCTTGGATGGCAAACCATGTTGCTGGTGAAATTCCTCTGGTAATATTAGAATACTTGGCAGAAATGCACCTCTCATATTTTTAATCAGATGTGGTACATTTGCAATACTGTGAATGAAAACATCAGGACCCCCAATATTTTAACTGGTCTTATTATCACGTCCTGGAGACAGAGACATCCAATGAACGACCACATTGCTCTATTACTGCTCCCCATATCTGAAACAGAGGCTCTTACAGTTAAACCTATTTCTGTAGCTGCTACTACAGTTCTATGAATTAGATCTTTCATGTCAGAACCTGATGTTGAAGGCCCTGTTAATTCATTGGCAACAATCTGTTTCCATGATGTTTTAAGGCCTCTAAGCATTACAATAGTGTAATGCTTAGCGACTGCACGGTTTTCCTAAAGTAACATTTCCAATGAATGACTTAGACGATGTATCAAAATCTTGATATGAAGCTATTTCCATTTCGTCAACTAAAAGGCAGCAGTTCCTATCAAGAGCATCCAATGAATGAACTTTTGTCTTGAGGAAAAAAAAACAAATTTTCTAAAATGCCGAAATTTATTTTTATTCCCTAATCCTCCTGTTTAAGGTACTGTATGATGGTGCTGGATATCCAGTACTTCTGAGGTAATTATATCCATGTTTGCCCAAAGCAAATCACATTTTCAGTCCTTGTATAATGGACTTTTCTGACCAGTTCCTTTTTGACTGCACAGCAAGGACTCCTACTTGTTCATCAGACAAAAATGATGTCAATTTTGCATCTTTTTCTTGAAGCTGTTGCTCAAGGAATTCTATTTTTTTAACAAATCTTCATTTGAAGCAGGTAGAGTTTCCTAAATTCAAAAAAATAGTAAACATGTTATGCTGTGATTATTTTTTAAACAATGGTTGAATGAATTAATATATTGGTAATAACAATGATTTTTTCAACCACTTTTTTTTGGAGAATATTAAATAATTTACCATTTGGTTTCCTCCTAATTGGGTATTTGGTTTTGGACATCTTATTTCTCTTATCCTCTTGTCAGTTACAGATGGTGGTGGATTTGGAATACTAAAGAGTGTTGGTAATGCAGTTTTTCTTAGTTTTTTCCTATCTTTGCATAGTGATGCAAACTGAGATTCCTCAAAATGATCCTGTAAATACATAAAGTAATAAAAAAAAGTCACAAAAAAACAAAAAACCACACAGTGAGGTGTGCCAAAGGCAGCAAGCATGAACTGAAGTAAGTAAGTATAAGGCAATAAATAAATATGCAGGTAATTAAATTAGGCCCAGTATTATAAAAAACTGAAACAATAAACAAATCATGTCTGACATAACAGTAGCATCATCTCGTCAGCTTGGGCACAATTTAACTGTTCAATATTTATTTTTTTGCCTATAATTTAGTATCCTTTAGAACATTATCCAAAAATTAAATTAAGCAGTCTTGTGCTATAACACTGAAAACAACTACAATCAGACTTGCTATGGTACTCTTACAACAGATAAGAAAATATGAATTGAGTTCACCCAACTTTTTGAAGATACTAGGCTAATAAATAAATTTATAGTAAGAGCATTCTTGTTATAATTGTAGTAATGTTTATTGCTCTAATTGAAATATTTAATTTTTAATTCTCAAATCATTCAAAACATATATTTTCAGTACTACAATTTGTTCATCAGGTAATATTTGAAGATTTCTCCTGAAGTTGCCTTTGTGGCAGCTTTATATTTTTTCAACACACACACAAAAAGGGAGACATTTTCATCTATATTTCTTTCCTTTATCCCTTGGAATAAATTGGGAGCACCGTGCCAACGTGCATTTTAAAAAGCATCAAGGAGAGCTTCAGCGACAATTGTATAAATTACACTGGCATATACATATCCAATTAAAGTAATTAAAAACACCAGAACGTAGTTCAGGAGCATTCTGGATATGTAGGCAATTTCTTAATTAGGCATGACAACACAAAATAATATTTCAGAAAATATTATTTATCATGTATATAAATCTGTTTTGTAACACAGATTAGTAATTACAATTTATTAATGTAATAATGATTTAATTTGATGAGATTATATTCTTTTGAAGTATTGAATTCATGAAATGGATTATGACTTGGCCTTTGAAATTCATCATTACAGGCAGATTTATTTGATTGTTATGCATGGATTAAAAACACCACAATTACATTATGAAAAATACACATATTCAGTAAATTATACTAGTAAATTCCTATCATCTGTAGAATTGTGATTTTTCAGTATTATTTGAGATTTTGTTACAACCTTTTATGATTTTTACCAGGTTTAGGAACAATTTAAAATTATTCTCCTAGTATGGAAAAGTATGTGTATCATATGTAAAGTATGATTCACACCACAAAACATCATCACAAAATAGTTATCAGATCAGTTGATATCAGTTATGCAGAGCAATTCTCAGATGGGTCTATTTCCAGAAGTTGGGCGGGCATGGCTAACAGTCAACAGCAATATACTTCTTTGGACTTTTCATAATGGTTAAGTCAATTTTTCTATCAATTACATGTAATTTTATAAATTAAAATGAACAGTTCAAAAATATCTAGCAGAAGCCAGGGAACTCTTCTGTTATTGGCACCAGATTCAGTAAAGTATGTATGCATGCACATGTGTATGAATGTATGTGTATACACACAATACATTCACATGTATGTGTATGTGAATGTATGTATGTATATGTATGTGTGTATACACATACTACATGCATACATACACAGATTTCTGAATTGAGTCCTGATAACTGAAGAGTGTTGAAGCCAGTTGTTTTTTGAGTAAGAAAGTTGGAGTTTTGTTTTTATTACCATTAAATTGAACATTACATGTTAATTGCTACAGGAAACTTCATTAGTCTTCATTGCCTAATATCTGCCTAGGGATCCAGGATTTATATGCCTCTTAGCCATTCTGTAAATCCTCATAACCTGCTTTTTGCTCATGAAAACAAGGAAAAAAAAAAAAAAAAAAATTTCAGGATTTAGAAAGACCTCTGGAATTAGGAGACTTAACTAGAATTGCTTGGTTGACACCAGCATAATTTAAATGGTGAAATTAATGCTGGAAACTTTAGATGACAATTTGGATACTGGGAATTGTGGTTCACCACCTATTTTAATTTACTTAGCATTTTTCTTTTAGTGATTATGGGCAGGGGTAATAGATACTTGCCATTTTTTATGTTACAAATACCAGAAACATTAAACAAATATCAAATGTAGATCATAACAAAGCCAATAGAACAAGTCTCTGCAGGTAGGTCGTTGCTTGCAACAAGAACATAGAATTGAGAAATTGCCATCATATTATGGCACCTATCAAAATTTTTACTAGCAGTGAATATGCAAAAATTTTAATTTATCCTCTATCTTAGATCTAAGAATTGTGAACTGAATCCTGCATGTATCAGATTATTGATACATGAAGATCATTTGAATGTCTTGATTTGATATTTTCATTAACATATTGATTATAGTAAATTAATAACTTAATTTCTAAATTTAGTCTTTTATATATATATTTAGTGATTTATCCAAAAGTAAAGGTATTCCTATTTAGTTAGAAAACTATTGATTGTAATAATAAATAAGACACTAGTAAAATTATAAAATGAGTACATTTCTGTTAATGGGATGTCATTTAATACAAAACATAAATGTTGGCAGGAAATCTAATCGGATAATGGTATCTGTAATGATACATTAAAGCTTCATGAAAAAATGAATTTGTAATAACAGCTGTAAAAGTATAAATGCTGAAGCTGTGCAGCATGCCAAATTTGTGCAGTTCTCTGATTTTTTTCAAGTGCTATGTACACGGGAAGAACAACACTTCTCTCCATATACAGGTTAAGCATAAATTTTATTATATTTTATTTTTTGCTAGAATTAAAAAAAATAGTCTTAACCGAGAATTCAAAAGTTTTATATAATTTTGAGTCTACTTTTTTTACAGTAAAAATTAATATATATATTTTTTAAAATTTATTTTAAAAGTGAATTGGCTTCTTATGATGGTCTTAAAGAAACTATTTTATGTGTGGGTCTTTAAAAACCTAAGCCAGGTAATTTTTTTTTTTATCCAAGCCAGGTAACACTACAATTACATGAATGGAAGTTACCAATAAGCAATGGAAAGTAATGGAATGCAATGGAACTTACATCTTTTTCTTGTACAGTCAAAAGTCGTTAATTTGGGCATCATAATACGGAATGATCTATAATACGAACCTCAAAGCTACAAACTTTCTGCGCATAGGCTTTTACGCATGCGCGTAAGACCTTTACGGCTGCCCATATGAGTGTGCGAATGTGCATAACACATTTACGCATGCGCGTTTAATGCATAACGGACGGTATAAGCTAAAATTATCTAATTATCTATTTCAGTTAATGTTGATGATTGCGTTGTTCCTTAATCTTCCAATTGGATCTGGCTTATTATTTTTTGCATACTGTAAGAGCAATTTTATAAAGTAAGCTTGAACTTTCGATTATGTCAAATAGAATTTCTGATGCTGGAGCTCCGAAAGGATCTACAAAACGAAAGTATGTTTCCATGTCCATCAAACAAAAAGTGGAATTGCTGCAAAAAATGGATAAAGGCATATCCTTTGTTTCTCTAACCATTCCGAAATCTGTTTATCAATTTCACGCTGCTCTGCGGCGGGGTGTGTGTGTGTTTGTGTGTGGGGGGGAAATGCCACGGCGCGCAATGAATTGGAATTTGATCTGTCAGCACTATCCGTATCTTCAGGCCAGATGTATTTATTTTATTTGGCTTATAATTCCTTACTAAATGTAATGTTCCAAAATAAGAAGTCTAAGAATTGCTCAAACTCGGTGTCCATGTACACACTGATTTATTATCACTTAAAAAAAATCAGAGAATTGCACAGACTAGGCACTGCACGCTGCCTTAACTTTGTCCATGTACACTTTGTAACTTTGTCATGTATTAATCGATCTATTTTAACTTAAAAAAAATCAGAAAGCTAAAGTTAAGACTATCATGGTAACCAGAAGTAGGGTTTCATCACTAAAACTGAACATAATTTGTCGCTAATCAAAGAGGCACCCAATTCTACCCTAGATTTTAAAATTTTTATGCATAAATTCTGAAATAATAATAACACCCCTTCCCCCCCCAAAAAAAAGACAACAAAAAAAAAAAAAAAAAAACCCTGCTTACTAATACTGTGCTTAATATTACAGATGCAAGAATTTAAAATCAAGTCACAATTCTACTTGTCATTTTAATCATAATGTTCTCTACATATGTAATAAAAATATATAAAATCTTGAACTTTTAATATTATATCTTTAAATATCAGACATTTTATTCCCATGTAATACTATCACATTGCTTGTATTTAGTTCAAAACAAAATTTACATACAAAACACAAATTTTAAATATTACTAATTTATTACATGTTCCATCAGAGGATCAAATGAGTTATTTCTGATCCCGAAAATTTATATTTTTCATTAAACTTGCACAAAGGTTAAAAAGTTAAAAAAATCTCTCATAATTATATACAGTCAAAAGTCGTTAATTCGGACACCCATAATCCGGACCTCAAAGCTAAAAACTTTCTGCGCATGCGCCGCGTTGACACATGCGCATAGGCATTTACGCGTGCACGTAAGACCTTTACGACTGCGCATATGCGTGTGCGCAAACGCAGAATACGTTTTCGCATGCGCGTTTAATGTATAACGGACGGTATAAGCTAAAATTATCTATTTCAGTTAATGTTGATGATTGCGTTGTTCCTTAATCTTCCAATTGGATCCGGTTTATTATTTTTTGCATACTGTAAGAGCAATTTTATAAAGTAAGCTTGAGCTTTCGATTATGTCAAATAGAATTTCTGATGCTGGAGCTCCGAAAAGATCTACAAAACGAAAGTATGCTTCGATGTCCATCAAACAAAAAGTGGAATCGCTGCAAAAAATGGATAAAGGTATGAAGAAAGTGACAGAGAGGTGATTTGTGTCGCAGAGCGCAATGAAATGGAAGTTGATCTGTCAGCACTATCTTTATCTTCAGAGAAGATGTTTTTATTTTATTCAGCTTATAATTCCTTACTAAATGTAGTATTTCATCTCATCGTACTCCGTCTTTGATATGATTTAAATCAAATTCCTCGTCATTATAAATAGCACGAATACACATCAAATAGTTTTCTGGTTGTAATTTTCTAATTTCGACTATGCGTAATGTACGCTTTACGTATGCACACGTTGAAAGAAATGTTTAATAAAGTAAACAAATAAGTATTAAGCTTTTTTTTTTTTTGTAAATTTTGATACCCTTTAGATCATAATTTATTTCATAAATTACGGTTTCATATTTTTAATTTTAGAATTTCTGCCATCTTACGAGATTTAAACTGATGATCTATAATCTGGAAAAATCGATAATCCAGAATCTCTAAAGTCCCGACGAGTCCGGATTTATGACTTTTGACTGTTTGGCAAATAAGTAATGTGATGCATTTGCCTTTTACATTTATTTACATTTGTCGATACTTTATTTATGCATGCATTTGAAAATATATTATTATAACATCATGTGTAGTAGGTAATATTTTTGTTCATATAAACACGTAAATTTTTCAGTCATTGAATAATCCTTGCACACACCTAAAACATATATGATTCTTTATGGAGATTAACATTTTATAAACATTTCCTCATGCACACATGGGTACTATAGTCTGTTGCTTTAAAATAAGCATATCAAGGTCTCTTCCTCCATCCTAATTTACAGATATAATGCATATCATCATTATCATACTTACTTTGTCTTCCTAGTTCAAGATTATTGCTCACTCACTTTTCATTTGTGTGTTAGTGAAACATACTGAACTGAGAAAAAAATAGTTAGGAAACTTGACCATCTAAAGCAGTTACAGTTAACATGGTTACCTGGCAAGCAGGACAGCGGAAAATGACCCGTAATGTTTATTTTAAAATAATACAGTTAATAATACAGATGGTGTAGTGATATTATTTTCGCCTTAACAGTACAGATTTAGGATTCCTTATCAGACATACATGTGCAGACACAATTATTGGAATAGGCTGTTTTTCACTCAGTGCCTCAGTAAGTTAAAAAAATTCGGCCATCAGATGCAGTTGCACTAGCTGAGGCACTTGTAATATGCAGATATCCCATTACATTAGCCTTGCACAAGGAATTTTAAAATCAGTACTAAGTCCAAAATTTGGACAATGTCTAACATCCAGAATAATCTAATACCCGGACTTGCAGACAACTAACACAAAATCAACCCCTCCCCTCTCAATTAAAAAATCTAGGAATGGAGAATATTACATTCAACAAAAATAAACATATGCATCATGAATGCAATTTTTTGCCCTAACTGAGAATCTTGCATGTCATTTTCAAACACTTGCTGGTTAGGGAATCACACTGTGGGCAATGGCCGGGGACAAAATGTAGATTGTGGATGTAAGCTACAATCATACTTTTGGCCCTTGAGTGAAAGTGGGAGATTAGGAGTTTTCTGTCAGACCTAAACAAGGAAGTCCCAACGCTGCCATGTTTACATGTCATCCTACTTGATTTAAACTGATGATCTAAAATTTGGAAATCTCCGAAATCTGACATCGCCGAAGTCTCGATGATTCTGAATCTTAGACTTTGTACTTGTGGTTCCCTAATGCGTATACCACTAACATTGTACATAACAGTATTAAAATTTCTAGCACTGCATATTACAGTATTAAAATTTCTAAGACATAAATAAATTTATATGTCTGCAGAAATATACTTTTTAGAATAAAATTTGCTGAACGACACATACTTAATCTAGAAATTCATTATTATGTGTAGTAATATGTCTGTTTAATGCACTTTTGTCTGTAAATGATTTGTAACATATATGGCATGCAGGTGGTTTCTCGCCAGTGTGGATAAGCAAATGCTTTTTAAGATAACCTATGTTTGCAAAATGATTTACTACATGTATCACATTTATGAGATTTTTCTCGAGAATGAACAGTCATATGCCGATTTAAACTAGCTTTATGTCGAAAGGATTTGCTACATATATCACAGTTATACAATTTCTCAATAATGTGAATACGAAGATGACTGTGAAGATATTTTTCACTCGCAAATGATTTGCTACATGCATCACATTTATAGGGTTTCTCTACCAGAGTGGACAGACATATGCTGGTCCAACTTGCATTTCTGTATAAAGGATTTGCTACATATGTCACATTTATAAAATTTTTCACCAGTGTGTATAAAGAGATGGTTTTTAAGATAACTTTTCCTTGTAAATGACTTGCTGCATAAATAGCAAGCATGTGTTTTCTCACTTGTATGAATATGAACATGCCACATAAGATTACCTTTGGTTTTAAATGACTTGATACATACATCACATTTATAAGGTTTCTTACCTGAATGGAACTTGATATGCGCATTTAAGCTCCATTTTTTAACAAAGACCTTTTTACATATATTACATTCATATGCTTTTGCAGCACCATATTTAATCTTAAGACCATTCAGGGCACTTTTCCCTAACTTGGCACACTCAGCAGATCTATTATCCATAATAATAAGTGTATATTTAAGTTAATTTTGTAGAAGGCACAAATAATTATAAGTTTGTCATTTAATACCTTTCACTGTAACTTCATGCAAGACCAAAAAATGTTCAGTGTACACAAATTACTTTTTAACATTTCCTGGATATCTTAACAGTTCCCCATTTTTTGGTATCAGTGTACATATGTGTAATTTATTGATATTTAATTTGCATTTAATGACACATGTTTGCATAATTTGTAAATACTTTGTACTTTATAATATATTACACTCTTTTATAGATTTTACATTTGCATATTTTTCCAAACTTTGTTATTACATCCAATCAGTCATTAAATACGATGTTGAAGTTATAAATACACTAAAAAATAATTTCTATATGCATAATGAAATATCAGTACTTTAAGCCAAAGTTTTTTCATATCTTATGTAAGCAACAGACTGAGATTTATTTCCACCACAGTGTTAGCAAATTAATAATACAGGCATTCTCAGTATGTAATAAAATATTTCTTGAATATTAACTAAAAGAATTTTTTCTAGTATTTAACTCGGTACTTCAAAGTCTTCATCTTTAAGTTAACAACGAGAACTATAATATGACAATATAATAATAAAAATACCATATTATGATCGGTTTAGAATCTCTTACACACGGACGTGATAATTGCATGCCATGTAAATTGTATCACAAGAACACTAAGTTAGCATGATTTCCCACAGACTTTTAAGTTAATTCTGTTTTCTATGACAGTGACAAAAAATACAAACTGTTTCAATCATTCTATTTTGTTCACTGATGCTCTAACTCGAAAGCACATTACAGAAAACACAGAATGGCAAGGTTTTCTGCCGCCAGTAGAGAAGCTCACAGAAATTTCGTTACCTTTCCATCAGACAAGAATGCTTTCTTTATTTTTTCCATTTTTTATAATTTTCTGAATATTGCACCACAGGCTTTTAAGTTAATTCTGTTTTGTACGATAGTCACAAAAAATACTAAACTGTTTCAATCATTGTAACTTCAAAACAAAAATACATTACACAAAACACATAATTGCAAGTTTTTCTGCCCGCTTCTTGCATGTAACGGTAGACTCTTTATTTCTTCCATTAAATTGCATTAAAATTTTTTATAATTTTTTTAATATTGCAGATATGAATACTGATAAAAAAATCAAACTCCATGCCCACACTCATGATGCTGGATTATAAATAATGAACAATTAATTATAATTTTCTAGTGAAATCGAATATTTAGCTTTTATTTTAAACGCGTGACATTGTCAGTTTAATTAAACGAGCTGGACCAGACAGCTGGAAAATATCAGAGAATACAGTTATTCCGTTCAAAAGTTTATGCAAAGTCCTTCCAAGATCAGTAAAATACTTCTTACATTATATTACTTAATATTTTAGAAACCTCGAGTCCGTCTATTTTTCGCGCATTTACTGAAGTGCCACCTATCAAATACTTGTTGAACTAAAGAAAGGTTTACATTTGTCCTCGAATAGAACCTCTTCTAAGTTATCTTTCATTCCTATCAGCATGACTCGTATGGAGATGACAAGTATTGCATGATCATAACATAATCGGAAGAATACGCGGATAGTAATAATTTTGAGTATACTTTTTTCCTGAAGTGAAGTATAATTGCTGTTGAGCATCTCAACCAGTTTCTTCCAGAATGTTGTCAACAGGATGTAATTATGCAAAACTGAAAACTAATTTAAGATTAGCAATTAATAGATTAAAACTGTTAGAAAAGAAGAAAACGGAATTAGCTCAAAAAGCAAGACGCGAAATTGCTGATTATCTTGCAAATGGAAAAATTGAGCGTGCGAAAATTCGTGTTGAGCATATAATTCGTGAGGACTATTTAGTAGAAGCAATGGAAGTTGTTGAAATATATTGTGATCTGCTGCTGGCTCGATTTGGTCTCATTCAGCAAATGAAGTAAGATTTTAATTGTGTTTCGTTTTGATATGTTTTGTGAGTTTCTAAAGGCGTTCACTTTTGTTGATGGTGTATAATTGCTTAAGACAATAACTGATTAATGGGCATTGATTGGTGTATAACTGCTTAATGGGCATTGATTTTTGTATAACTGCTTAAAGGGCAGTTAAGTCTTTTGATGGTTATTTTCTTAGAACCGAAAATCAAGCATGAATCTCCAGTGTTTAAATTTCTTAGTATTGGAGTATTAAACACAGTTTTTTTATTCCAGTTTAGTATGACTGTACTCAAGCTGTACCCAAACAATGATGTCAGAAAATAGACATTTTTGTATTTTTAATCCAATGACTCGGTAAAATCCTAGTATACGGTGCAGCCTTGGCGCGACTTTGAAAATTATCACCAACACCAAAAATGATCCAAAGAAAGTCTGTATATATATACTATACACTATATGCTATGTGTGTATATACATAGTATATATACTATATACATAGTATATACTATGTTTAACTATATATTTTCTTTGAATGACCCGTTAACTACTCATCGTATATGTCCTGTTTTTACTGCTCATCATAAAGTCGCCAAAAGTAGCCAAATCCAATGTGCACCGGATACTAGGATTAAACCAATGACTCTTATGGATTTGATTTATAGGTGGATCTTTTGTTCAGAAATATATTGGACACTTTTTGAAGATGTAAAGCAATATGTAAAAACTAGCTGATATTTTTTTTATTTGCAGATTGAGTAATTTCTATGTGTGCAAAGTAAATATTTGGGGGGGGGAGTAACTGGTTAGGTATGAGTTCATAAATGTATATTGATTATATTTTGTTATTATTTATTATATTACTTATCATATATAAGTCTGTTATAAAAACTTAGGCTAATATTCCATAAGTTGGCGCCAAACTATTTTTATGTAAACAGAATAGTAAAATGAGAAGATAAAATACTAGATGAGTAAAACAGAGTCCAACAGCTTTGCAAGTAAAAACATAGTACTCTCTATGTAATTCATCATAAAATAGTAGAATGAACAATTTTGGTAAATAATTATTGAGTTAATAAATATATGCACTTATCAGATCAGAGTACTACTGCAAAGCGAGTTTTAAACATAAACAGAATAACACATTTTTTGTTTACAGTGGTGAACAGCTATTATTATGTGCAAACAGAATAGTAAATGAGATTGATTAACTGATAAAAGAGCGTCGTGGAATTCAATACACTAAACAATTTCGTTCAAAACTTTAAAATATTCCACATCATTTGATTGTCACATGCAAGAAACAAAACTCGAAAAAAAATTAACTAAATAAAATTAAATGAAAACATTCATAAATTATAAACTTCACGTCATCTGAAATCCAACATTCTCCCATCAAACACATTTTAACCTTCCGCAAATATTTAGATAAATATTAAACAAATATATAATAATGTTAAACAGTAAAGCTTTTAAAAACATACACAGTATTTCAAAATTAAATTTTAAAAAAATCTTGTGGCTACACTAAATTTACACTCTTAATAGCCTTTCCCACTGGGTTTATCCGAGCTAATGATCACAACTGACATAGCCGACCCATCTCCAAAACAAGTTTTTTCGGTTAATCTTTGGATTATGGTAACTTGGCAATTTTT